CAACCTTCCGATTAGTGGACAACACACAACCACTCTACCTCTGACCCACAGCCATTTTCTCCCAACTGCCTGACTGGTACTGAGTGTGTGCAGCTGTCAACAGAGATGAGAAGGAAGCAAGATGGCTCACTACTTAGCTACTTCCATCACTGGCTGCAGAAAAATGGTGCATTTAATTTGTTTTTTTTTTTACAACTTGCCCAATCGGGAAAGTGAAATGCTAGCTTATTTGCCCCTCATTCCTTATTGTTGAGCCCTGATTGAGTTTAAATTTGAAATACTGCCAAATAGTCACTTTTGTTTTTCAGTTTGAAACCAAATCCCCCTGGTTTTGTTAGTCAACTCTTCTAATCATTCTATCATTACATGATAACTTAAATCTGACTCACTCCTCAAGCACCTTTAGTTTTAGTCAGTTTATAATTGTAGCACCCGTAATCCAACCTAAATAAAAACAAAACGACAAAGGGCAACTAATTTAATCACTGTATGCCTGAACACTGCAACAGCGGTAATACCGACTACTGCGGCAAGCCTAACTTCATTACCGTCGCCTTGTCTACTACATACCAACTCCAGGTATTCTGGTCTGACATTAAACCATTCTGTGACAAATACTAAGCGCTGCACCTCTTTAGCAGTGGAGCAAAGTAGCAGCCTACACATATGTTAAGCCTTGCTATATAAGCATGACAAATACCATGGCAACTGAGTCTTCATGAAATCAACCACTGAGTGTCTACGGGCTGTGAACCTGTGTGTTTATTCACCAGATTGACAGTCGGAAGAGTTAAATCATAACATTTTAATTTCAGGTAGTTTAAAAAAAAATTTAATGAGTTATAATTCTGCTTTAAGAGTCCTATTCTTATTTTTTAACAGACAATGATGGGAACTGGCCATGGAGGGAAAAGAATCTTTCCTGTTGAAGCTGCAGAAGGTAACTGTTTTATAAACATTTTTTTTTTCTCATATTCACTGAAACTTTCACTATATCCTCACAGTAGTACATGAGACAGATAATATGTGAAAAAAATCTGGTTCCTCTGGCTCCTCCTAGTGCTCAAAAAAAAAGAAATCCACCACGCCTGACATAAAAAAACAACAACATTCTCATTCCCAGGGCCCCAAAGCATCTGTATGTGACACCCTGGGAATGAGACTCACAATCAACTAACTTCAAGCCTCCGACCCAAAGCGGTTCTATATCTTTCTTGGCTCTGATTGGTTGTTTCCACCCAGGCCCGGTGGATTATTGCGCAGCAGCACTAGGAGGAGCCAGAGGAACCTGATATTTTTTCACAGATTGATCTGTCTCATGTATATGTCAGGATATAGTGAAAGTTTCAGTTAATATGACAAAAAGTTTTGCAAAGTTACCTACTGCAGCTTTAAATGAGAATAAACAAGAGGCAATCAGGTTAATAAAACTTTTGTTGACTGAATTGAATCTTGCTGTCACATATGTGTATTACAACAAAATGTAAACAAAAGTATAATGCAAAGCATTTAAAGGTTTAACAAAGAAAGTTCCAAAAATTGTGACACACAGCCAAACCCGTAAATTGAGAAGAAATAAATTCTCAAAATTGGGCATGAAAGTAGGGCTGCATGATATGGTAAAAAAAAAATTATATTGTAATTATTTTGACAGATATTGCGATATTCTTCACATTCTTGCATAACAATTTTTATTTTCATTGAAATCAAAATCATGATGTGACATTTTTGGGTGTCTGTACCAAACAAACATGTTCTCTTACATCTGGAGAACAAGATTAGTAGGTAAGGTTATCTCTAAAGCTCTACAGTACTTCATTATAATCAGAATCAGAAATACTTGATTCATTTTACCAAATAGCAGCTTATACGATTTGGATATTGCACTTAGCCATATTGTGATTTTGATCATATTTTCTATTAATTGTCCAACCCTATGTGAATGGGCATCAAAATTTAGCATTTGAACAATTAAGCTCCTGGCAAACTGCTCAGTGTTTCTTAAAGAAAAAACCTTTTCAGCCTTACTTAATAGTAATTATTAGTGGTGAGTATTGGCAAGAACCTCACGATACGATACGTATCA